AAAATCGCACGTAATTAATTCCAAACGAGAAGAAAAATAGAAGAAGTATCCCTTGGCTGAGATTTCACGGAGTGACATTGCGATCGAACACCCTATGACACACTTCCCGCCGCACCTGCTAAGAAATATTCCTGTTTTCCAAACCTTAATCTAATCGGGAGAACGATCGCGCCTTTCTTTTATTTGAAACTCGGAAAATTGTTGGCGACGACGCGATACGAGACGAAAATAATTGCGGGACAAACCACGTTTGCATTTGTTGCTCCGACCAGGTATTGTTGCTGCGTCGAACATTTCGTCTTATCGCAACGTAATATGTGAATATTATGTAACATTCGTTACAAAATGGTACGCTATTTTCCACGGTAATACATTTTCATAAAATCAAATGGTGATATTTTTTTACATGTTTCCAACAGCTCCGTTAAGCTACCGTTTACCATTCAGCTACCGTTAAGCGTTCATAAATTGCACGCAATTAATTCAATTATTCTGATATATAAAAAAATATACCGAATGTAATCATCCCAATTCAGTATTTGTTTATATAAAAACTATTCATATGCAACTCCCCATCAACATCACATAGAGCGACATCGAAACGAAAGGTCGAAATGTAAAGTCAATCGGCCGGAAACCGATAAATATTATTTTTGATAGAAATGAATACAAAATGGATAAGTTAGCTTAATTCATTCAGTTATTCAATATTTAGACCGTTATTGCTAAAATTTCGACTTGCTGCGTAACGCAATAATTTCCTGTTAAGGTATATATATTTTGCTTAAGTCATATGCAGCTACATATGAAAAAAAAATCCGCGATTAATTCATGCAGACTCAGACAACAAACACTACATATAGCACTGACTCGAATTTTTCTTTAGATAACGCGTTGAAATACGCTTTCCTGAGAAACAAAGATACCTTAAAGGAAACGAAAATATTCGGAACAAAAGCATTTTATTTTTATAACAGGAAAAGATTGTCAGACAGACTGCATGATCATTAAATCAAATATTATCAATCCAAGATAAGCTTGCATCTATAATGACTCACAAATAAAAAACACATCGTATCCAATAAATCATTATTGTTTACCTTACGATGATAAATTTTGCCAGGAAATTCTTAAAATGTCTACCGCAGCCAAAATAAAAACTGTAGCAGAACTTTAGATACGTACTTACTTTATTCTATATACAGAACCGTATTCCTTCACTTCCTCGCCTGATGATATCGTTCTTTCGAAACGTTTTATTTAGAAATATAACCATATAAAAATTATACTTCAATTCTTCGTGGTTACAAAAAGATAACAGATATCTTTTTGCGAACGCGATATTACGCAGTGCGTGTAAATGTTTACTGTTCATTATACAGAATATCCAAAAATCAACATATGTCTTTAACATGACAGATTCTTTGAGAAAAACGAAAGTTTAAATATGAAAATGTCGAAGGAGGTCCTTATTCGTAACGATTTTTCAATTTTCAACATAACGTATCTTTACTAAAGCCTAAAGTAAACTTCTATAAAAATAAAATCAATTTAAATTCAGTAAAAAAAATTTTTTTTTCTTATTTTTCTTTTTTTCTTATTATTCTTTTTTCTTTATACATTCAAATTTTTTTCTTATTCTTTTTTTCTTTATACATTCAATCGTTCAAAGTTTAGTTTGCAAAAAGCCTTGTTATTTTTTTGGATTAATTATATCTCGAAAATTATTAGTGCCTCGACATTTTCATACATAAACTTTCGTCTTAAAATATCCCACAGACTCATGTTCTCAACTCACTTTTATTGAAAAAATTCTTTAAATGCAGCTTCTTAGCCAATCAAATGGTTTTTAAGCCATTTTTAAAAGTACTTTTATCAATAAAAATGAGTTGAGAATATGGATAAAAAAATCTGACATGTTAAGAACATACGTTGATGTTGAGACACTTTATATAACGTAAAAGATAACAATTTCGCAAACACACGTTTAAATCATATCTTGTACAAAAAAGATGATGCTTCAACAAGTGCTGGAAATAAACTGTTGATAATGAAATATCCGTAAAGAGTTAATCTATATTCTATTTTCTCTTTATAACATGCCTAGTGAGGACAACAAAGCTATTATGTCTTGAAAAATAAAGCCAGCTTCTACGTTGTTTGACAAATGGTGCAGGCCATGACAACAGGTCGAATATCTACTCTGCTAGCTGAGCAAACAAACAAAATTATGGTCGCATCTGCTGAGCAATGCGTTTCGTGCGACATGCGGCGCACCTTCTCGAAATTCGAGACAGTGAAATGAATCATCGAAGGAAGAAAGACAGACAACGCAGAGTCTGGTTAATCGATTGGTTTGCGCTATCCGTCCAACAAAACCAGTAGAAAATATCAAAAAATATGTAAAACCGATTTTACAAATAATTTAAAAAAAACTAAGCAACACGAGATAAAAAATTAACAGCTGATCGTATGGTAATTACTCCGAGTCGATAAAATTACTTTTAAAATGGAAAAATGGTAATTTATCCATGCTAATTTATTTAATATTTCACAACCGATCAAATCTGACTGGGATATGAGAAGGACCAACCTTGAGACGCCCAGCGAAGGTCGAGGTTGCAAGCATGGCGATCTAGCTATTGCGAAAAGAAACCAAGAATGGTGTTCACGAACAAAAGAGCGAACGGGGTGCGAAGGGTAGCGGCACGCGATTCGGCGATTTGCACATTTGCACAACCGCGCAAACGTCGTCTGGACGGAAATAAATTCACCTATTTGTCTTGCTTCGCAGGAGTTTGCGTTTTTTAAGCGGATTTGATATCCGGACTTGCGTGCGCGCGAAAGCAATGTATTAACCCAGATTTCTCGCATTTGTGTTTCTCGAAGAAATATCGAACGGCTATAGTTTTGGCTGCTAACCTTTATTTGTATAATGATTACACATCGCAAACCATAACAGTTACTGATTTATGAAATAGAGGCATTTTTTAATTAATATACTCAGTTATAATTTCATTAACACGTAAAATTTCATGTTCTTTCAGAATCCGAAGTCAAAATTGCGATTAACCCTCAAGGAAAAAAAATATAGCCGATTTAAATATGAGAAACGTGAAAATTTTCGAAACATTTTTTTTTCTGAATTTTTTTTGCAATGATACCGCAAAGGTATCATCTTTTAATTATGATCAGAGGTGATCATGGGGGTTGAAGATTAACAGGAAATTTTTATATTAATAGTGAATCACTTATTTTTCACAAAATGGCGTCGAGAATGTGAAAATTTGATTAAAATTTTAACTTATCGTTTTCTTGAAAACTATAGACTTTAGGAAAAAGTTGCTAAGAACAATAATATCTTAGAGTTAGTCAAGGAACACTCTCAAATTTTTTCAGAATTTTTGCAGACAATTTTTGATTTTCTGATAAATTCGGGAAATCCAATTTTTCAAAAATGTCTTAAAAAATTATGAAAAAATTTAAGAGTGTTCCTTGACTGATTCTAAGACATTTTTGTTCTTAGCAATTTTTTCCCAGTCTTCAGTTTTCGAGAAAAAAATTCTTTTATCTTTCAATTTGGCAAAAAAAAATCTTTATTTTTATGTATACAAACATGTATACCTACAGACATGTGTTTTTTTTTAATTTCTCTCTCTCTCTCTTCTTCTTTTTCTCATCTTTTATGTATGTACATATATTTGTGTGCAAATGCATATACATTGTTTTTTTTCTACTCTTAGCGTCATCCAGAGACAACGGCACGGACGTGGTAGAAATTTGTCTCCTTTGGGGTGCTTTTTTTTGTGAGTCCCCTTGCCTCTCACGTTACGGGGTGCTTTTTTTCCGTGAGTCCCCTTGCCTCTCACGTTACGGAATGAAAATGAAGATTTTTTTTTTGCCAAATTGAAGGATAAAAGAATTTTTTTCTCGAAAACTATAGACTTTGAGAAAAAATTGTTTAGAACAAAAATGTCTTAGAATTTGTCAAGGAACATTCTTAAATTTGTTCATAATTTTTTAAGACATTTTTGGAAAATTGGATTTCCCGAATTTATCAGAAAATCAAAAATTGTCTGCAAAAATTCTGAAAAAATTTGAGAGTGTTCCTTGACTAATTCTAAGACATTATTGTTCTTAGCAATTTTTTCCTGAAGTCTATAGTTTTCAAGAAAACGATAAGTTAAAATTTTAATAAAACTTTCCCATTCTCGACGCCATTTTGTGAAAAATAAGTGATTCACTATTAATATAAATATTTCCTGTTAATCTTCAACCCCCATGATCACCTCTGATCATAATTAAAAGATGATACCTTTGCGGTATCATTGCAAAAAAAATTCAGAAAAAAAAATGTTTCGAAAATTTTCACGTTTCTCATGTTTAAATCGGCGATATTTTTTTTTCTTGAGGGTTAATCGCAATTTTGACCTCGGATTCTGAAAGAACATGAAATTTTACGTCGGAAAAGAGCCTGTAAAATTTTTTTGTAGACCGATAGCATAAAAAAACTCGGTGAAAATTTCTTTAAAATTCGCGTCGTTTGGGCGTTAATGGGTTAATGAAATGCGGTAACATCATAGCGCCGGTCACCGGTGACCTCCGTGGCATTCAACGTGTTAAAGATTTCCGGCTAATTTCATATATGGGGTCTGTTTTCTATTACTGCTGCACTAGCTTGATTCTCTTTTCAGGTCTGTTCGTTTTCGCTGCACCGCTGAACTAGTGCAATAAGTTGGAGCGAGACAAGTATATGTTTTCTCACTTCAACTTATTGCACTAGTTCAGCGGTACAGCAAAAATGAACAGACCTTTTCTCTCTTTCCTATCAAATATCAAAAAAGAAGTGCAACCAGTGCACCAATAGAAAACAGATCATAATATAATTTGGCTTCTGCGATATGTCAGGTAAACGGCGTTCGTACGGTTATACATATGCTATAAACATATTTTTAGTCAGTGGTGGGGATTGTGACAGACGCCAGCAACTATATTGTGAGTTCGCAGTGTGAATCGTGGCTCAGTATAGTGTAACGTTCACATCGACGCGAGAGCTTTGCTGAATGATGTCACGACTACCAACGTTAACGCGGCTGTCGTATATTCTACGTAATAAATGTATCGAGAGAACGCAGTGTGGTTTGAAAAAATTCACGACACATCGATACTACACAACTGCAAGCAGATTAAAACTCGACTCGCAGAATGTAGTGAGCAGTTACTTTCCCGATGTGACGGGCTACGAAAATGTTTACGTGCACGACTTCGTATGGGAGAACATAGGAAAATGGCCGAACAAGACAGCTGTGGTAAGTAAATATTAGGTCTGTTCGCTTTCGCTGCACCGCTGAACTAGTGCAATAAGTTGGAGTGAGAAAACCATATACTTGTCTCGCTTCAACTTATTGCACTAGTTATTGCACTAGTTCAGCGATGCAGCGAAAACGAACAGACCTATTGATTCTCACCACGTGTCTAAATAGCAGCAAATAAGCATCTATCAATCATGTGTAAGACGTTTTTCGATGGTTTTGCATTTAGACGGTCGATATCAAACTCGAACTTTCAGCCGGATTTCAGAGTCAATATAGAATATCTCCTCCTTATCACTCTGTGATACAGGCATGATGTATCAAGAGCGACTTAACCAAATAGATTTCTATACAGCGTAAATATTCGTCGAGAGATATCTTAGTAACGTCCTAGAGATACCAAACATCTTGAAATTAAGGGGAATCTCCCAATAAGTGACAATATTCCAATTTGAGACAATCGTATCTATTTTTCTTAATAAGTCAGATAATACATCTCCATATTTATCTTTAAAAAATATATTTTTACTTTAAATTATATATATTGTCTGTTATAACGTGTTAAGTAAAATTAAAAGAAGCTAAATAATATTAATATTATATAAAAGAAGCTAAATATTAAATATTATAAGTAAAACTGTGCTGCTAACGGCGACAGTTATTTCGAGCAGTTACTTGTCGACATTTTAAAAGTTGACTGTCTATATGAGGCATTTATTTGACATTTTTTGTAATTATTCTCTAATTTCAAGTGATTGAAATCACACTGTCAAAAAGTGAAGGAAAAATAAAAAATATTTATAAATTGGGACAACAATCAAGGTTATATGTCACTGAATGATGTTTCCGTCACCCTTTTTGGGAAAAGATATTATAAATTAATTGGAATCTTATCTGAGATAAAAAAATATAATGCAATTAGGATCACAAATGTTCAACTAACGGATTCCTGTTTGCCGCTGTTTAGACAAGTGATAAAAGCCTACCTTGGCAGGTGTCAAATATTACCTATACATTCGTGGTACTGTACATAACCATAAATATTAAAAAACGTAAAAGCTTCAAGCTGTCGAACAAAATAAATTTTATTACTTAATATATATATTAATTTATTGATTTATTTTCACGATAAATTTACTTTGTCATTAATTAGGATATACATCTTTGTTTAAACGAGGCAATTTTCAAGAACCATATCTCACCTCTTCTTACCGTTCCAGCTCGCCCGGCAGACCACGCAACTGACAATCGCGGTGATTAGTCTCAGAATCGTTGACATTATGCGGAATCTGTGAGGCGGTTCCTAACCTCTGAAAAGTTTTTATTGAAACGATTCTTTTACATATAATATAATTAATTTATTATCATTTTTATAATATATAAATATATATATTAGCGTATAAAAATAGGTGTAAAGGAATGGTTTCGATACGAATCTTCGATATGAAACTTTTCATAAATTTCATATCATTTATTCTGAGGCTAATCTAATCCAAGCCATGACTGCCAGCCGTTATGTAATCCGCAGAGCGAGCTGGAGTGACGAAAGAAAAATAAGAAGACATAGCTTACAAAAATCGCTTCGTTTATATGAATAATTCATATGAAATGTCACTTACGAATATGCTCAATAGATGATCAGACAGCTATCAAAATTATATATATTATATAGAAATTAAATATATATTAAAATTATATGTGTATATGTAATTTGGACATATACATATTTATCGTCTATTTATTGTACATGTTCGTGAAATATGGATTCTCTTCGTCATATTTTTTCTGTGTTCCGAAATATATAAAGAAAAACTGTTGCAAGCGTTTTGTGAGCGAGCAGTATACATAAACATAAAGCGTATACATAAACATAAATAAATACATAACATAAATAAATTTTAAGAAACGAAAAAAATGACGACTGTGTTAAAAGGTCACTATGTCATTAGCATTGACATTGATAGAATTGCGATAATTCTAACCCTTTGAATACTGAATTATTTTAAGATTTTTATGCCCATGGGACGGATTTAATTTGGCGCTATATGGATTAATATGTAAAAGTAATACATTTTATGCCCAAGTAAGCAGATGTCGAGTCTCACTCGTCAAATGTACCGAAAGGGTTAATTAACTTTTATAGAAATAGTCCAACAAATCGTATCGTAGATTATCAGATTTTCAATAGCAATATTAAATGACTCCTACATAAGTACATAACTACATAAGTTTATTATTGAAAAAAATATTTTCCTATAACTTTATTTAACTAAGTAATAAATATTAATTTTGAATGAAATTAAGGGAAATATATATACAATATTCACACAATATTACAAACACGGAAATATAATTTCTTTTTATGTTTCTTACACTGACTGCCACGCCGAAATCACATGTTTCGCTCACGACGCCACATGACCATCGCCAATGACTATCGTGAACACCGCCAATTACCACCGTGACTTCACAAGAGATACCGTGGCCGGTCATATATGACCAACGTGGCAGTCAAAGTGTTAATGCCCTATTTATACGCAATCTAGTATGCTGATTTGACAACTTAAAATTATTTTCATTTTAAAATGGTCATTTAAAATTTATCCTTTGAACGAAATTTTGATATATAAAAAATGGCTTCGTTTGATACCAAGAATCTTCCAATTAACTCCTAACAATAATTGATTATTCAGGGACACCCGGTACAAGAACGTTTTTGTCAAGATAAAAAATACGAGGCATAACAGGAGTATATATTACGAAAGATATACTGACAAGGATATCGTCATAGTCGTTAGATTTAATGCCTGTCATTCGCTCATCAAAGTTAAGCGACGTCGACTGTGTATTATATATTAGAGTCAATGTATTAAGGTGGATATATGACTATTACCTGGCCACCGTTCGAAATCGAATCCATGCAGGGATATATGATAAAAACGTACGAAGTGTGAAACAGCTTTTGCAGTTAACAGCGGGCAATCAGGCTGCCTTCCTTTTATTAACAATGTTTTCTGAACATTGAATTACAACATTTGCAAGATATTGCGATTCTGCGGAGATTAGACGTTAAAATCTTTTTAACGCTAAATCTATATTTCGCAACGTAGCAATGCAACATTTCTGAAATGTTGATTCAACGTAAGTGTGCTGTATGGGTATTTAGACTCTGTATTTCTAATTCCCACACGTACTAGAGGCTTAAAAATATTAATTAGGAAGGAAACAACAAAATCGAGCGGTTTCACGGATCGGAGTATGGCGAATTGAATATTCAACGATAAGTGTGACTGACTAGAATTAATATTAGTGAAAATACTCAAAATGCATGAATAATTTGTCAAGTATTTATATAAAGGAACGCATGTAATTAATTTGATCTCTCATGGTTACAGGTGTGCTCGGTGAGCGGGAGAACGTACACGTACAGTCAATTAAGAAAAACATGTGCTAGATTAGCAACGAGTTTCAGAAAATGTAACTTGCTTCCTGGAGATAAACTCGCCGTTATTTTACCAAATATCCCAGAATTCATGATTGTCGCGTTAGCAGCGAGTGAAGCCGGAATGACCGTAAGATAAATTTGTTTATAAATACTCATAGAACATAAATATAAGATTACAAAACGTACATGTATTAAAATTCTAGCAATATGTGCAAGAAAATTTAAGTCCTGTTACTAATGTTTAATAAGAGATGTAATTAGCCGCCTAAATCCGAATAGATTCTACAGAGAGATTTTCTTGCTAAATTACACAAATAGTTCAGATAAAAATCCTGTCTCTGTCGCTTATACTAATTAGATACAACGCACATGTGACATTTAAATTCTTGCTAGACTTGTTAGACATTCATCCGTCTTAGCTAACTTCTCATATCTAAATAATTTTTACTATGACTGCAAAACCATTTCTTTTTTTCGTGTAACTTTCATCTTGAATAATCTTTGTGATTATTTAAGCTCACTATAATTATCATTTCGTTATCGTTATTACAATTCTCTAATCGAACCTTGGTCATTTTTTTTTTTAAGTTAACCATGATCAACCCTGCATACACAGTATACGAAATAAAGAGGTATTTGGAATTGTCAGATGCTAAAGCAGTTATAACATGGTCAGCGAAATACGCTGATGCTCAAGCGAGCGTGAGGGAAAACCCAAATATAAAGCTACCGATTATAATCGCAAACGACAGCATTGATAGTACTGTGATCCCAGGAACTATCAAACTGACCGATTTGATGCGCGACGATATTGAAGAATTTTCAGTTAGTCAGAAAACTGGCGTCAGTTTTGAAGCTGATGTATACATGCCCTTTTCTAGTGGCACGACTGGCTTGTCAAAGGGAGTCCAGTTGAGCCACAGGTACACAAACCTATCATGCGTTAAACATCTTAATTGAAACGTAATTAAATACTTATAACGTCCGATTGCAATGTTACAAATGTGAGTAATTCGAGCACTGATATCGCAGGAACATTGTCGCGAATCTTCAGCAAATAATACGTCCAGAACTCTACGGTCCAGTGGAAGCTACCGAATCTTATCAGGATATTATACCACTGATATTACCACTATTTCACATATTTGGATTGATCCTCAGTATGAATGCTAATTTACGGTATGTTATATCAATATATTAGGCTATGTTTAATGTTAAGCCATCCATTGTTTCCATAAAAATCGAAATCTATTGCAATTAGATCATAATAGCGTACATTTGCCCGACGTTTCCAGACTAGGTAACAAATTGGTGTGCGTGCCACAGTTCTCCCAAGACGGATTCATAAAGTTACTGGAACAATATCGACCAACGCACTTGCAAATAGTGCCGCCGATAGTACAGATATTGGCTTATAACAAACGAATAACGCCGCGTCATGTCGAGAATATGAAGACGATAGTATCGGGAGCAGCGCCCATCGGGGATGAGTCTATCTCGATGTTTCAAGATCGCATCAGCGATTCTGTCATCTTTTGCCAAGGGTAAGAGAGTGATTATAATGATACATCCATGTAACAACGACAAATGTTTCATCGCTTATATGTGACTCACAATTGCACGAAGATATGGTATGACGGAAACATCGCCGGCTATTTCGCTAAGTTGCGATGGTGCACCGACGGCGTCGTGCGGCTACTTAATATCGAGCTCACAGATGAGAATCGTAGGAGAAAACGACGATAACCGCGACAAGAATTTGGGTCCACGCGAGCTGGGACAGATATACGTGCGCGGGCCGCATGTAATGAAAGGATATTTCAAAAACCCCGAAAAAACGGCAGAGACTATGGACGGGGATTGGATAAAAACTGGCGATATCGGCTATTACACCGAAGAAGGTAAGCGACATTGAATTTAATCAGAAACTTTCGGGAAAGTAGAATCGCGGCGATCACAGCGGAAGATTGCGAGTGAATGATTGTATTGTAGGTTTGATATACGTGCAAGGGAGATTGAAAGAAATGATAAAGGTAAAAGGACTCCAAGTTGCCCCGGCCGAGCTCGAAGAGGTGATCCGCGCTTGCGATAAGATACAAGACGTGGGCGTAATCGGAGTGTCGCACGATAAATATGGCGAAATTCCGAAAGCTTTCGTAGTTCCTAAGAAAGGAATTAAGATCGACGAGGACGAACTGAAGAAATTTGTCGCCGAACGTGTAGCCGAGTTCAAACAATTGGGATATGTACAAGTTGTAGAAAGTATTCCAAAAAGTGCAACAGGGAAAATTCTACGAAAGAAACTTGAAGAACTGTAAAGACTTGGTCGGATGTTCCTTCGCATACTCTGAGTGATAACAAGAAATTTTGCCAGTACCAACAGCTTATAGGCATTGATTCGTATCAATTTATACATATGGTCAGTGCTAACAAAAATCTTTATTATAACAAAAAGATACTATCGATATGAGACAGTTATTTGTTTATATACAAGTTCGTTAAATTAAATTTATTCTTTAGATCCTTTGGCACTACCTGGAGAAGATCCTTCTTTTTCCAGAAGGGCACTGGTAATTCCAACTTTCTTTAGTTCTTCGATAAGCTCACCGTTCTTATGCATTTCTAAAAGTATGTCACAGCCGCCCACGAAATCACCGTTTATGAATACTTGAGGTATCGTCGGCCACTTTGAGAAATCCTTTATACCTAGGTGATTAAAGGAATGACATTAAATAATATATTCATATAAGAAACATAACAGATTTAAGAATACAATTAAGAGGGTAAATGATATAGCAGTGATACAAATGATAATTGATATAATGCAAAAGAAAATTGTTTAAATTTATCTGAATATAACAAAATCTATGTATAAAGTTTGTTTTATATATATTTTTTAAAATATATTTTTTATAAATTCTACAATAAATATTATATAAATATTATAAATTCTATAATAAATATTACATATATATTTGTAATTGTCTACCTTGTCTGAGGTTCTCATCTTTAAGAACATCATGAGCATCATAAGTAACACCATGCATTTGTAATATCTGGACTACAGCATTGCTGAATCCGCACCTTGGTTCCTTTGGTACGCCTTTCATAAAGACGACTACTTTATTTTTCTATAAGAAACAATCTGCGTAACACACACAATAATATACATATATCGCGTATGACGCTGCACTTAATAATAAAAATAGAAAATCTCTGAGCTTGTTCTATGTGACTTCTCTATAACACACAAACCATAAAAAACTTTATAGGAAAAACGTATACTCACTTATTGCATTTAGCAACTCTAATAGGAAATATCATATACTTAAAATGAGGGAATTTTACGGGAAATACGCATAAAAATATGCCATATAAAATGTAAAAAATATAGTTTACTTACTTTAACGAGGTTATCGATCTCAGTGAGCTTTGTACTAAAACCTCTGACGATAGGGGCATATTTAGCTCCAATACGAAACATGCTTCACTTTGTATGAATTAAAGTGCACTTTTGCAACTGACTTGATCTATTTTGAGTTTAAGAAAGTTCTTAGGACGATCAAAGGAGGAGGTTATGTGTGTACTGCACTTCGAGCCGTCATCTGTTTCGTATACCGAATGCCGACTATTGGAGTAGCCAGTGGTGCCATCATACGGCAAAATTTATCATCAAGAGCATTTTCGCATAAATTATCAAATTCCACGATAAACAAATATTTTCCCGGAATATACAACATCGAGTCACAAAAACAATATGTGATATTTAAACATATCACGCATTGGCGAAATATTATTAGAAACCTATACATGATAGTCAATATGATACCTCAAGGTAAAACGCGCTGCCTAGGTAACTGGCGACCGACGTTATTTCCTGATATCGTTTCGCACACGGAACACTCGTCAGGTGGCGGCACTATGCAGTCCGCATTTCTCGACAACCTCTGATTCCCGTAACAAGCCTGTATTTACGCTGACGTAATCGCGCTTTTCGGAACTGTTAGGCACGATATCACAACGATACGTCACGAATTGAGATCACACGAATTGTATCCTCCGCAGAATCGTTCTCTCGGCCAAGATGGCGCGTGTTAGGAAAGCAAAGTGCCCCCGTCCGTTCGCTTCTCTCCGATATCGAATTTGACCTCCATCGATGACCTAGCTACGTTCATGAAACGCGCCGTCTGCATCGTCGGAGAAACGCGATTAGGCTGAAAATCGAAATGTGTTACGCGATACGGAATGATGCTTTGTCAGGATTTCGAGTCACAGTCGCTGAACAAAAATTCCAAGATGATACGAGTAGTCGGGTAATTATGGAAAAATTTCTTCGATATCATTGCTATGTTTACGCGACAGTTCCTTCGATTTGTGGCGAATTCAATTAGTTCGATATTGGGTCAATATTAATTCGAAAGCTCGGGCTGTGTTTAGGCACTGGTTACACATTAGTTCCATCAAATTAACGGAATATATCCCTCCCATCTCTCTTTCTCTCTCTCCCCCTCCCTCTTTTTCTCTCCCTCCCTCTCTCTCTCTCTCTCTCTCTCTCTACGGCCTTCCGCGTTTCTGATGACATTACGGGAATATCCGTGAGCATAGGGAAATTTGTATCTTATCTATATCTTTGCGTCAGCAACGTTATAGCCATTAGGAATGCGATAAGAATTAGAACGGCCGGTAAAACATATCTTTGAAGGCTTTCTTACATATATAATTTTCCTTTGAAATACGTTTGAATAATCAAAGAAAAGATCATGTCCTGCGTATGCATTCGAATGAATTTTACGTCTCTAACGGCATTTTAATACCGAATTGTCCAACGTCGGAGAGAAGTCAGAAAGTAATCACGTAACACAGTGGGACGCTCAATTTTCTACTAGGTACATTGAACTTTTCAAATTAGTCGATAAATTTGTAGATGAAATATGTATAAAGTGTTCAGCAATACTCTGTGTACTCTGCTTGCATACATAAACGCGCACGCCGGGTACTACCACCACTATCGTGTAGATTTAATAGAAAAGCGGCGAGATCGATTCAGCGCGGCGGCGTCCACGCGATACTAACTTACGTTTTCCGGAATACATTCCGGCTCGTAAAATTTCAACGGTGCGACCGATTTTGGAGACGGCCGACTCGCGCAGGGTGTTCGACATCATAAAATACCGTGATACGTCGTAAAACGCTTCGCGCCGGCAGACTGTTGCCGTGGCACGTGCTGCCATTCGCTCGCTCATGATGACGTCAGTCAGAAAATCCTCCAAGAATTACCTTGCCGGCCCGTTATCACCGCGTACGTTATTTCTCTAATGCCGGCCGAGGTAAGCATCATAAATCGTCAGTGACTACAAAGTGCGACATTACAGCGCCGTTTATTTGCGTTAACTCGAAACGTTGATCCGTTCTGATAACCGACTTTGATAATCTATCGGAAAGAGAATTTCTCTGCCGATGAAATAGTAGAAAGGAATCGTAAATTTCGTGTATGTGGAACGTGAGAGAGAGAGAGAGAGAGAGAGCGCGAGAGAGAAAAATCGGAACGGTACTTAGAATACACGGGTCTGACAGTTGACAAAGTTTTTCAATTTCTTTTTGCAATGCTATTCTCGTATCTCATGCCAATTCTATTACCAGCACGCTCTCACGAAGAGACATATCTCTTTGATATCAAATAACATTAACATCGGACAGCGCTGACTCTCTCTTTTCTGCTCTCGCAGAAAAAAGCCGCGCGTAAGCCGATTCCGTTGGTAAGCAAAAGATTCGTTATCGATCCAGAAATCTTATATTCGCATCGCATTGTGCGAACTCGAGCACAGATTCGCATCACACATGCAAAATTTACATCGCAAGTGTATATCACGTCGTTCCGACATAAGCCACTTAGAAAGCCGATATCGAGCTGCACGTGATGCGTAGCGAGTGACGTCACGTCGGAAACGTCGAAGCGTCTCGATGACGCTGTCGAGGTGCATGCAGGCGCGAGAGCGGTGCATGAAGCTGCGGATGTGTGTGTGTGTGTGTGTGTATGCGGCGATGACGCAACATTGAAAAATCGCTAATCGGGAAAATTCGCGTGGGACGGAGCGGCGGCGCCACGTGCCGTCGTGACTCGTGACGTCACGGGGCAAAATCATGGTCACCATAGCGACTGCTGGCCGGTCTCTCCTCGTCGCCTCGGACGCCCACGAGATTTAAACTTCCGCCGACGCCGCCACCGGTGCGGACGTCACGCCCTGTTTGACAGGCAAAGGTGTTGCGGTGGGTCCGGGATAAAAGTCCGAAAATAGCAACAGGTATACAGGTTGAAAAAGCGAAAAACTTCGTAATGTGGAAGAGGTACTTTTTCCTTGAGACGATGTGTTTCTACACGAGAAGCCGCGTGTAATTCGAAGATCGAAGAGAGATCGTTTGCAATCGTTCAGTTCGCGCGACGTGCGCCGGAAAATCGAGTCTACGATGCGCTCTATCATGCTCGTAATTCGTCTAAAGTATGTGAAAATAACTGTATTATCGAAAAGAGGTATCCGTTTCATTGTTCAATAATATCTTGCGACACACATTACTATTGATTTGTCTTCGATTTGTAACATATTTGAAATGTAACGTCTTGGAGACACAAAAGTTCCGAAGGAATGTCGAAATTCCTCTCGTCATCTCCAGCCCGATTACCTCGACGATGAGTCCCACTCGATAACAACGACGCACGTATTCGTTATACGATCTTGATTCTGCTTACTTTTCTATCCTAACCTGGGATACAAGAAAAAGGCCAACTATTATGTCCATTAAGTGGGAAGGCCCAAAGACTCCGTGAAGGCCAGCCGTTAAAAGGGAATAAAAGGACGAGCCGGAAAGGAACATCGCATTACCGACATTACAATGTCGGGGCGACGATTGTTGCGATAGTTTATGATAAACGCTTTAATACAACTGTACCGTGACGTGGATATTACATTGTCACGACGTCCCTCCGCGTTTCTAAGGTGGAGTTATGCTTTTACATCCGTGGGATAGCGGCGAGAGGGAAATAATCGTCTCCGTTTCGTTTTTCGTGCAATTTTCCGCATGATATCCGAAGTATGAGCGACAACCGAAGAAGAAAGGTGGAGAGAAAAGTGGGAGGGAAAATTACAAGTAATTCGAAACAACAAAGAGTAGACGTCCGATAAACGCGAGGAAAACGTATCCGCCGCGCACGTGTATTTACTTCGCGGTAATATTTCGTCGCGTATGTTCCTCGACGCCGAATTTAAACGGAAACAGCTGCGCGCCGGTACAACTGCGCGACGCTTTATCAATGAACAACGAAGAGCTACGAAGGGTTGCGTATTTTCTCGACGGCCTATTCGCCGCTTATTGCGGTCCGCGAAACAAATCTTCTAATTCGTTCTTTTCTCTACAATTGAAGGCATCCTCTGCGAGAGCGACGCAGACCCGTCTGACGGGTTTCGCCGGCGTGTGTGCCGAGGTGTATCCGCGCGGAGGTATATTAAATCCGGTATTCAACGGTAATCATTTCGGAGAGTGGAACAAAGTGTGTACCGGCGAAAAATCTTGACGGGCAGCCGGGATACGTTCCATCGGCGGATAAACGTCGGCCGACGTGAAAATCTCACGGATGACGCGTGCGGCAACGACGTGACGGCAGATCGACGAATTTTTACTGCGCCTCGGTGATGAAAGAGGACGTTTCCGCCCGAGAAGAAGCCCTTCCGCTTGAGTTGTCGATAATCAATCGAAACGAACCGCATTTAGTCTGCGGCCGGGTATATAGAACACTGAGAAATACTTCCGAGTAACAACTCATTGCGATGTAACGAATATCTGCCGTTACACAACACACGCGCGCTGCAGGCAGCCTTCCTTTGTGCTATCGATCGCTCTAATATACGCTCGGGATAATCAAGTTTGCGTAACATTTGTTACTTCCCCGTCGTGCAAACCGGGGGGAGTACGAGGGTTGCAAATAACGCGACGATCTGCGAAAAATTGTCCGGAGAAAATACGCTTACGCGAGACGTCGGTGCGAAAAGTGCTACCTTCGACGCGGCGTTTAGCCGACCGTTCGTCCGTGCGGAGGGAAGTATCATTTCGCCCGGGCACGAGGAAATACAAGAACATCTCGGCTCGATCGCCTTCTTTCGTGGAAAAAACTGGCCTATTCGAAAAACGGGGGGGGGGGGCGCCCGTAGCTTCTTGGAAATTGACTGACTTTCCTCCCGAGTTGGAACGAGCTTCTACGAAAGTGCGTTGAATCGCCGTTCGCAATCCGTCGTGTACCGTCAAGTGAGGCGTACGTCGCTCGCACGATACGCACAATGGTGACGTCACTTGGCTCGCCCGGCCGGCGAATGAAAGGAGAAGCGTGCACGCTCGTGCAGCGGCGCCCCACCCCTTTCGCCTACCCCTCTCGAACGATCTCTTTCCCATCGTGTTCCCTACGCCATCGCGACACTGTCGCCGAACAACTCTACCCCGCGTTTACGAGCAGAGGGCTAGTGATTTTACACGACTGCAGCGATGCCCGAGTAACCGTGTAAATGCAACCGTGTACCGCAATCGATACCACTCGATACCGCCTCTGTCGTTGTATCTCGTGGCTAATCGAATGATATCGACGCGG